CCGTCACAAACGCGACCGTTACCTACTAGTAGTACTAGTAGTAGTAGTAGTAGTAGTAGCAGTAGTAGTAAGGGACGGCAAAAGAAAAGTAGTCCTGCTTTCACAAAGAATGCAACCTTATCTGCAAGCCTTCGTCCCCAAACCTTAACCCCACACCCTAAACATAGGGTTTAGAGTTTAGGGATAATGGAAAATAAAATGCAAACTACTCTTAACATAGGGATAATGGGTTACCTTATTGGGGGCTATGTATACAGGGGTTATATATCCTCAAATTCATGAATGCCATAAGACTAGCGGCTAACGTGTGAGAGCTCGAAGGCGTGCAGTCCGCCTGCTTGTTGGTCAGTACCACCCTTGCAGCCGTAGGGTGGCATTCCAGCAAAGCGAACGGGAGGGCTGACCTGAATTCAGGGTTTAGGGTTGAGGGTTTAGGGGCTTGGGGCTGAGGGGTTTGGGGTTTAGGGATTCAGGATTCAGATATTTGGGGATTTAGGGGCTTGTAGCTTTGGGGCTTAGGCATTTCAAGTTCGGGGATTTAGGTTCTAGGGTTTGGAAGTAGCCCCAGAGTTTAGGATCTTGGGTGTTGGGTTCAAGACTTATGCTTCTGTGCGTTGGGGCTTTAGCGCGGCTCGGGGAATATGTGCATGGATGACAGGTTTAGATGCCCAAACCCTGAACACAAGCAAAATCTGTCGGACAGGACTTGGTGCAGAAAAGGAAAACTGAGTGGATTATCCACCTGAAAGGACTTTCTCATGATTTGGGATCCATGTGGGATTGCTGAAAATTAAAATCCAGGGATATATGTCGCACTAGTACTGCCAAATCTGTGTGTCCAGTGTGCAAGAATGCTAGAATGTTAAAGCATTTCCCCGAAAGCCCAAACCCTCAACCTTACACCCTAAAGTCCGAACCTCAAGCCTGAAAACCCTAAACCCCCAAGACCCTAAACCCTTAACCTCTGAAGACCTACAAGCCCAAAACCCTAAACCCTGAACTCTAAACCCCTTATCTCCCCTAACCCCTCCCCCAACCCTAAACCCTAAACCCTAAACCCATGACTCAGGCTGAGCAATCCGCGGAAAACCTCTTGGACACATGACTCGGCAACTTCGAACTCGGCCTCAGTTTCTGGTCACGTGGTTTATAATAGGGGTATTTTGGTAACCCCAACCCCCAAAATTAGCACCCCAGGACTATCATATGATGGTTATAGGGTCCTAATTTTGGGGGTTGGGGTTACCAAAATACCCTTGTTAGTTTAAGGCTCAGGTTTTAGGGCTCAGGGTTTAGGGTTTCAGGTTTGAGGGTTCAGGGTCTAGGGTTGCAGGGTTTAGGGTTGCAGGTTTGAGGCTTCAAGGTTTGGGATTTCAGGATTTAGGGTTTAAGGATTTAGGGTTCAAGGCTTAGAGTTCAAGGTTTACGGGTTCAGGTTTGAGGGTGTGAGGCTGCCTAAACCCTAATCCCTAAACCCTAAACCCTAAACCCTTAACCCTTAACCGCATGTACAGCCTTGAGCTGTCTTAATGAGTCTAACTGCATCTTGCGTTGGAGTGAGGTAGTGAACTTGCTGCCAAGCTCCGTATTCCTTACGATAACTGGCTTGCTGTTAAGGGACTTAGATTAAAATACTTTAATATGACTAAGTTACCACAATATGGTTTTATGATGGAAATAATGGGGCGTGCAAAAGTCCTGAGAATAAATCACCCACACCTAACCCCAAACCCTCAACCCCCAGAGCATCACTAGAGATCTCTTCTGGAGGTGCGCACCAAACTTCAGGAAATGCTCCTTCAGCGAGGCCTGCATCTTTGCCGTGTCCGTCCTGTCGTAGGTGGAGCTGACTTATGCCGGTTTAGGGTGTAGGGTCTAGGATTTAGGGTTGCTAGGGTTTAGGATTTAGGGTTTAAGGATTTAGGGTTTAGGGTTTAATGTCTAGGGTTTCTGCACTCATGGGAGATTGAAAAGGCAAAGCAAAACCTTGAAACTACTGAGGCCAAGCTTGACGCTGCGGCTACAATTCAATCATGCTGCACATCACCAGCACATCCGCTTCAGCTTGTAGCAGTAACAAACCCGTACATACGACATACACCTGCTCCCAAAAACAGTTGAATCAAATTGCTATGATGGACTTCACGGCTTGGTCTTGTCCTGCCAGCCCAGTCTCTAAGGGGACCGACGTAGACACGCACCTGGCAACAAGGGTTCGGCTGCTGCCATCAGTAATGCAGCCCCAGCCTACCCGAATAATCAAACTCCCCACACCCCTCTCATACTCAATCTTCTTGATTAAATACCGTTGTATGAGAAGCTACACTTGCTACCAGGGGATAGGGGGTATTTGTTGCTAGAGATGGGTTTACGCCTTGCTCTGAATAGAGCGAAGCCCAGTCTCAGGCCCACACGAAGCGGGTAAGATCGGCAAACGCTTTGTCGCGTTCCGCCTTTCAGGACAGCCTAGCTACAGTCTCCCTTCAGGAGATAGAATATGGGGTATATGGGGATCTTATTGTAATATACCCAAAGCCATATTCTATCTACTTAAGGAGGACTATAAGCCCTTCACTCTAAGACATGCTGCACAAACTGCGGCTGCCTGCGAGGGAAAAGTGATCGTAGTGGTTCCCAACCAACTTGATGTTTCTGACTGGAGGTGGAAATTCACCTGGCGGCATCATGAAGAAAGCTAGAGAATGGTAGGGAGTGCCTCGAAAATTTGAGAATATCCCACGCATAGTTAAGTCATTAATAGAAGGGCTCCACAGATGATCAAAATGTTTAAAAAATTCTAGGGGCTGCCACAAGCAAGGATGGAACTCACGCCTCTGCACAAGTACCATGCGCGAAGAAGCCTTGCAGCTCCTGCCAGAAGTTTAGGGTCTAGGTTGAGGGTACAGAGTTCTGTGTTGAGTGTTGGGGTGCAGAGTATGGGGCTTTGGGCTGAGGTCCATTGAGGCCTATTATTTGTGGTGACATTAAGGCTAAACCCCGAACCCCTGTACCAGACACCCCCCTCAACCCCTAAAACCCCTAAACATGTAGACCCTAACACCTAAACCGACCAAAATCCCTAAACCCTAGGCCTGCTAAACTTTAGGATTCAGGGTTTAGGGCTTAGGGTTCCCCAGCCGCAAACCCAAAAACTCCAGAAACAACTGCCTTGGCAGTTGTCCCTTTCGGAATCTCACTCAGGAAGATCGTCTTGGGGAAAGATAAAAGCCTCAGGCAGTGTGCAAGCGAGCAACATCTGCCGGTGTCTCAAACTTATGGGTGCATTTTAGGGTTCTCTGTGTAGACAATACACTGGGGACCTGAACTTCAAGAAACAGCTTGACGAGGGCTGCAGTCCGCTGGGAGCCGCGCTTCAAAGGCTTGGTGGTGGCGGGATGGATTGAAGCCTCCAAAGTCACTGACTCGTCTCTAAGTGCTGAGACCACAGCTACGATTCTGTTGACACGACTTGCTCATTGTCGTCAAACTTGTTGGCGAGACTTCCCTGAGTTCTATACGGTCTTTCTCAAAAAAGGTGCGTCCATGGATGCTTTCCTAAAAGCTAAACCTGAAAGAAGCACCCATATCCCAATGTTCTGCTCAGACTTACTTGACAACGTGGGCAGCAAAGTCGCCTCGTAAAGCGCCAGCTGAAGAGCCCACTGCGCATCCTGCGGCATACAACGTCCAGGCAATGACAGCATTGCTATGGGCCTTGGTAAAAGGACTGCAACGAGGACCCCAAAGCGGGAACCCTAAGAATATAGGAGGAATACACTGATTAGGAATATAACTACCAGGGTCTGTACGTGCCTGTTATATTCCTACTATGTTTTTGGGGTTCCCTGTTTAAGACTTCCGTAAAATCCCTTCACCTGGGGTCTAGGACTGTGGTTAAGCGATTTGGGTTGAGGTAGAGAACAAACATGGCAGAATGAGCCGAGATGACATACTCAATTTAGGGTTTAGGGTGTAGGGAATCAATGTAGTGCTTGGAACTATACTTGAACTGGCGTAAAACAAACAAAAACCCTAAACCCTAAACATGTCCAAAATGCAAGCAAGACCTTAAAGCTTGCACAGCCGAGAGCTTGAGACTGTTGTGCCTGTGCTTCTTGAGCTGCACAGCATAGGGTTTAGAGCTTTGGGTTTAGGGTTTAGGGTACCTGAATACGATTTAGAATTAAGGGTGTTCTGAGTATAATCTGTAGAACAGATACATACGGAGGTTCGGGACAGCTGGATAATTGAACGAACGAATCACCCTCCTGTGTTACTGTTCTGTGGCATTGTGGTGACACAGCGGTCATCTCATGCCTTTGACAGCTTCAGCCTTCATAGCAAAACCTGCAAAAACTAAAACAACTGAAACAAGAATGTAATTGGTGTTAGAACAAGGATTCAAAATAACTGGCACTAACAACCCTACAAACGAGAATTGCAGCAAAAGTTGAAAGTCCCTTAGTCCCTGAATCTTAAATGACGAAGCGGCCTGCCGCGGATCGTGTGCCCCAGGGCGAACGGGCTGTAGAGTCGGAATCTGAATAGTGTCGTCGTTTGGATTTAAGCATCTACAAGGCATTCAGAGTTTGGGGTTGAGGGTCCAGCCGTTTAGGGTTTAGGATTCAGGGTTTAGGGTTTGAGGGCTCGGCGGTCATGATTCGGTGATGTTCCGGGACTCTGCATTCTAAGGGTATCAAACCATGGACATTTAGTATGGGCCCTTGACCCCGGGATCCGTATATACCTGTTTTTCACCGTATATGTGCGTGCAAGGGCTAACCGCCCATGCTAGGGCCCATACTTTCAACCTTGGATGCATGTGATCTTCTCAAAACGGACTACCCTACGAGCCCATGCATCTAGAAGCGCCAGGGGGGTATAAGGGGTCGTCTTGAGGATTGCGCTTTATACAAGATGTTGTTCTTATTCTGGTGAATTACAATCATGATTATCAACATCATTGCGAACAGAAAATACTCATAATGTGTCTATCTCAATTTCATCACAAAACTCATATCCTTAGACCTTAGCACTTTTGTACTTGAAAGTTGAAGATGAGCTAGCAGAGGGGTTATAAGTCGGCTAACTTGGTTAACAAATATCGTTTTTCACGCGGCTTAGGGTTTAGGGTTATCATGGTTATCACCCCACCTCCAAATAATCACTCACTCATGAACCGCCAAGAACTCCCCCAACACTAAACCCTGAACCCTAAAAACCCCTACACGCCCCCCAAACTAACATGGAAACCCATATAGCGCCCTTTAAAGGGAGTGTAGTCTTTATAGGGACCTTTTTGGGTTTCCATGTTAGTTTCCGGGAGGGTAAACCCCAAATTCCTCGGTGTCCTGAGGTCGCCACCTTTGGCCTCATGAGGGTGACCAAACTATTGAGCTTGTGCCGTCTTCGGCGACTGCCACCTCAACTGCAACAAATGAGCCATAGTCTAAACACCTAGTATCCCCCTTAAGAAGCCAAATAAGATAGGGTTTAGGGTTTAGGGTCTAGGGTTTAAACTCCAAGAATCCCCTCAACAACCTAAAAAATATGTAGGGTTCTAAATTCCTAGTAGTCCCCTTAAGGACCCCTATAGTAGTCCCCTATATAACCCCTTTTAAGGAGTTTAGACTATAGTTCGCACGGACAACGTATTCGGCGCTTTGGTTTCAGAAGCTGGGGTTGAGAGAAAGAAGAAACCCTCAAACCACAGATAGGAGTATAGTGCCCCTTAAGTAGATAGAATATGGGTTATATGGGGATCTTATTATAAAATACCCAAAGCCATATTCTATCTACTTAAGGGGGACTATAATCATAGCAAGAATTTGCTTAGGAGCGGCAATGATGCTGACAAGAGCAAAGATAACGAGATACGTGGAATAACTTGCCTTGCTTTCAGAGGCAGGCTATGACAAGTTGGGGCGGGGGGGGCACTGGCCTTCAACTGCAAAAATGAGGGCAGTGTCCACGATTTTCGTGTGCCTGGGCAGCCATGATTGCAACAAGACACGCTCGACCTGAGACCTGTCTTCGTCATGGCCTTTATTCGTCCAGGCTACAAGTAGCCATGTGCGGGAAACTGGACAACTGAATGTAGCCCATGCTGCTTTGCAGACCAAGCCCAAGACTGGATTTTCAGCGCGCGTAGATCCTGCAATGGCTTCAGCATCACCGATGTCATGGTTAGCATACACAGAGGAGCGCAAAAAGAGCAAATAGCAAAGCAGTATGAAACCTACTTCAGGTTTAAGAAGGAAGTAGGCTTCACAGCATCTACCTGTATTGCAACACTTAACCCTTAACCCTGAACGCTAAATCCTCGACCCAAAACCCAACACCACTGACCACTGCAACACCTGAACCCTAAATCAACAACCCTAAATCCAAAACCCTGAATCCTAAACCCTAAATCCTAAACCCTAAATCCTAAATCCTAAGCCCTACATCAAGGCCCAACACCACTGACCACTACAGCACTTGCAGATATTTGCGGCTGAGGCCTTGTGAAGCGAGTGTCCTTGGAAAAGACAAATGGACCAAATAAGGGCTCAACAACAGGAATTTGAAGGGTTTAGGATTTAGGGCTTAGGATTTAGCATTTAGGGATTAGAATTCAGGGTTTAGGATTTAGGGTTTAGGATTTACGGTTTAAATTCTAGGGTCTAGGATTTAGGGTTTAGGGTTTAGGACTTAGGGTTTAGGATTTAGGGTTGAGGATTTAGGGTTGAGGATTTAGGGATCAGCGTTGCACTTGATAGGCCACCAAATGTATGCAGAAATGGGCTCGTTTACAGAGCAATAAGGACAATTAAAAACTTTCCGAAAGTGCCACCCAGACATCACCATGGGGTCTAAGCAACGAAGATAGGGGGCAGCCTCTGCGGAATTGAAAGAGACAACCTGAGAGTGTATGATCCTCTTAACCCTAAACCCTAAACCTTATACCCTAAACCGTAAACCCTTAATCCTAAACCCTAAACCCTAAACCTAAAGATTCTTGTCAGTGGTCTGTAGCACTACCGAAGCAGCACTTCAACCAAGTCCGTCACATAAAGTGGCAAAAAGTACCTGCTACTCCATGTTTAGGTTCTAGGTTTAGTTGGTCCTCCCCTTTTTGCAAATTTCAGCGTAAGATTTTATACTTTCTTATCCTGTCTCACACACAGATACCCGTTCAAAGCGTTCGCGCAGCCCTAAACCCTAAACCCGAAGGAGCTTCCTAAAAGGAGGGATCCCGAAAGGGGCCCAGACAGTGGCAGGCACTATAACTTATAATATTATAAAAGGACTAACCCTAAGCCCTGACTAGTTGGGTCCCCGTTAGGGATATTTATGCTAAACTCCCATGAGACCCCCACACAAACTATCAAAACAAAACAAGAGGCAGCTCTTAAATCATCAGTCCTAATTTGGGACCCTACAGCCTTTATCCTAAAACCTGAACGCTCTCCTAAACCCTAACAACCTATATCCTAAAACCTAAACCCTATAAAACCCTGAACCCTGCAAATCCCCGACCCTAAACCCTCTGAGCTGGGTGCCCACCAGAATGGTCTCCACAGAGATCAAGTCCAAAACCTGGCTGAGAAGTATCCACTGCCCCTAACAATGAAAGCCTAAAGATTAGGTTTTTTGGTCGGAACTTCAAAATCTTTAGGGTTTAGGGCATAGGGTTTGGGAGTTAGGATTTAGGTATAGGGTTTAGGGTTTAGGGTTCCACCTTCCTAATATTAATATTGCCACCATGATATAATAGTTTCGTATTGAGTGTATCAGTTACTGGGGAGGTGTTTGTTACCAGCGGTGAGGGAGCCTTTTAGTTCGGGGAGGGGATTAGGGACCCAAGCAAGCTCACAAGAAAGGTTCATGGGCGGGCTATATTCAGGATAATCAAAGTCGTGGCTGAGGGATACGCCATGATTTTCCTCAGCTTACACATTGCTAGGAAGGGATGACGGAAAACAAGCTTGTTCCTCCACCTGAAGTAAGACAAGAATGCACAGTGCCGAGAAGAAACACACATGATGTTCGGAGCCAAAACAGTATCAATCTCGATAGCCGTAACGTTGCTACGATCCTGCCAAGTGATACCACACGGTTTTAAGGCTTAGGGTTTAGGGTTTAGGGTTGGATGCCGATGACAACGAAGCGCCGACAACAGCTCTAAGAATAGAACATCCTGCTGTTCCAAACAGCATCCGGAGGGAAGTCTCAAAATAAAGATTACTTCATCGTATATTCCCCCAAGAACCACTCCATGCGTGGCCTCCACAAAAGGGACCCAAAAGGGACCGAAAATTGAGAGAACCCCAACGCCAGAGATTTCAAGCCCAAAACACGAATGTAATCCACAATAATGCCTATAAGAAACCAGGATATTACACACTGTTCACTTGAGTTTTCCCTATCTACACCCCTAAACACTATAAATCATCATTCCAGTTTTCATTTCATGTTCCATGTTCTTTCCCACTTGATTCTCCATTATCCTCACCCTAATTGCTAGGCCCTAGGCGATCCAACAACCCTAAACCCTAAACCCTAATCCCTACATATCTATATGTATCTCTTCATATCCCTATACATCCCTATATACCCCCTACAAACCACTGTTGAAGGACCGACAACCATGAATGAACGTGCCTCACGCTGAACCTGTTCAAATGGTAGTGCCTCAGTCTCTTCCCGTCTGCCCGTCTGCAAGGGGTCGGCTTCAGGTTTCGCCAGTGGTTTGTCATGTAGGGTTCAGGGATTAGGGTTTAGGGATTAGGGTTTAGGCTAGGTACGAGTAGGTATATTGCAAAGCACAAGCACTAGTGTCAACCTCATCTGCTGTAACCTTCGAAAGAGACTATAGGAAATTACCTAATTTAACCTCCGTTGGTCCCTCCCTACGCACGACTTAGTGGATTTCGGGTTGCCCGCGCCCATGCGCCAAATAGATGTTGTTCCATACTTGGAGGTTAATTCACCCCCTTTACCAGCGCACTTCTAAGCTGATCATAACTTTTTCGCGGACTTAGGGGGCTTATGATTGGCTTATAGACGAAAAAATATGTAGGATAGAAACATCCATGGACGCCAGCAAGTGTTCCAGTACTCTTCCACACAGCCAAGTAGCTTCTTGGATCAGGTACCTTCCTCGACTTCGGGAGATCTGAGATGCTGTAACAACCTGCTTAGGTTGATTCATCCTGACACACACACACACACACTCTGACG